TCCATATGAAGTGTTTCACTGTTCGAAGGTCCATATTTGGATCCAAAACCTGAATAGCAAAAAATGAGTAATAAAAAACTGTCAGAGCCTCTAATATTTAAGACTTTTACTGTTAACTCAAGGACTCTCATCAGGTAACCCAGCTTGTCCTCTCCTTCCCCAAACCCGGTGGGCTGCTCTTGCTGCCACAGCTGCCATGCATGCAGGCACAAACCCAGGCACAGTGAGATGTGCAGCTTGTGTGGCTGGGCCAGAAACACCACCTTCAGCCATTCCTCTGCAGAAAGGCCTTGAGTGCGCCTTGATTTAAAACAGCTCCACCTACCGCCACTCAAATCCTAAACTAACATTATGGATACTGCCCTGCAAATCAAGATGGTCCCATGTCTTTCTCTGTTAGGGGCCTCAATAATTGGGCTTCTGCAGTGTTCCTAGGAGTCTCTGTCAAAGCAGAAGCCCCGCAAAGGCAACAGACTCAGGGACCAGAACTGTACCACATTATGTGACTTTCTGAGCACCAGCACTGGAAAAGTGGGACTGTGGTTGGCAAGTCCACTTACCTGGTCCTGGCACAAAAGTTCAATTTTCTCCTCTGCTAACACGGCAATATCCTCCTCTTTTTCCTGTTCTCCTGGTTTTTCATTATTAGAAGAGCTAGTGGTTTGAGACTCATTATCCAAGTTGATGATTTTCTCATAAACATGTTCCATTACTTTCCGGACTTGGAGCATGTCACTAGCAGAAAGTCTATCTCTGTGAAAAGCAAGGGCAGATTGTGACCTCAGGAAATCACTGGATAGTCTCTCTTCCACATTCTTTGGTGTTAACGTTTGATAATGATGAAAACATACCACAGAAACATAAACCAAAAAAAGTTTTTAGTCATTGCCTTAATCCATTTCTAGGATTGCCAATTGATTTTCTATAGTGTTTTTTTAAGGCACAGATTATGTGCAACTGAGATTTAATACATGTTCTTAAAACTTACATATACTTAAAGAATAATAGCCTTCTGGGTTTTATTTCCTTAAAGATTTTCCCAGAGCAGCATGGGCAAACTAAATGCTCCTGGAAGGGAAGGCAGTCCCCAGGGCTCACCAGGCTCTGATGCTCCCGGTGCTCATTTCTCTTAGGGCCGTCTCCTCCTACAGCCGAGACCCTGAGTCTCAACCTCCTGCATGAACTCCAGACTCACGAACCCAACAGCTGGCTGGGTATCTCTAGCTGGATGTACAACAGGTACTCAAACGCTCCATGTCCGAAACTACATTCATCAACTTCCTCACCCCCAAACCTATTTCTATATTTCTGATATCACTTAATAATGGTCAAACCAAGTAGCTTGGGCTCAAACTCTGAAAGCCACCTTGACCTTAGGGTCATCAAATCTAGTGGAAGTGATATCTAGGATGTGCGTGCGTGTGTGCGTGTGTGTGTGTGTAAGTAGGTGGGTGGGAGGGTAGGCAGAGGTATAGATGAGGCAAAATGTTTAGCCATGTGCTGAAAATTACTGAAGCTGTTTGATGGGATGATGGGGATTCATTCTCCTATTCTCTTTTTTGTATCTGTTTAGAAATTTCCCTAACAAAATGTTTTTAAAGCCTTGTTGACTTTATTTGCTAAGATATACATCAATGAAACCTCTTAATTTCTTCTCTGACTTCCCTCCTAGTATCTTCCCACCAACTCTACATCTTGTGTTGAAGATACATAAGTCTTTGCTAATTTTCAACATGTGTATGCGCTCACTTCCACATCCCTGATCAAATCATTTCCTGGACCTGGAATATCTCTCTTTTGAAGTTCTATCCATCCTTACATGTCCAGCTCAAATTCCATGTCCTTCGAGAAGCCTTTCTGGAGAGCTCCAGCCAAAAATCCATGTCTTAGTTATTTGTGAACATCTGTAGCTTACCACAGTAGCTACTTGGTAAATGGTTAAATTGTATTAACTTTCAATATTATAAAACTAGCTTTAGATCTAGTATTTGCTGCTTCTGCTATAAAAGCAATCATAAAGAATAAAAAAACTCTCTGGTAATAGATTAAAGCATCAAAAACACTACATTTACTTACTTTTTTAAGGTTTTCGCTCCTGAAGATGCATGAGGTTGGAGGTAGAAAGGAATTTTGTTGAATTTAGGCATATTTTTCTGAAATATTAAAAGTAAAAAAAGGTATAATAGTTTTTATTAGCTGATAAATTAAAACGATATCAACAGGAAAACATTATTTACAAATTATTTTACAATTAAAAATAATTTTCTATGAAAGTTATAGTAAGCTATCAAATTATCTAAGTCAGCCTTAGACAAAATATATCAGAAAAGTATAACATTTAGTTTTGTAATGAAAGATAACATGTAACATCAGTGGCAATATGAATTTGCAAGTATGGCTCTTTTCAAATTACAATTCGAGGTATTAAAGGGAAACATTTTCTTTTAATTACTTAAGCCATATAAACCCAAATCTCAATTCTACATTAAAATATCAGGGCTGATACCTAAAGCCCCAAACAAAAAATTAAGTGCCTTAAGAGAAACCCAAAATATTCACCTTTGAGCAAAACCATACACTCTATGCTGGTGAGGGCCCTCATCCAACTGAAAGGCCAATTGGGTCCTCCCACTTTCTTTCCCTCTGACATTAGAGTGAGGTCTGAGGTTTTAAACAAGAGTGGAGACTTCAGCCAACCACCTAGATGTCTACTGTGAAGTAAACCACATACTTAGATGAAGAATAAAATTAACTGGTTATTTTTTCTCTGGGTATTAATCCCCTCCGAGCCTCCATGTCATATCCTGTCTGGATGTCTCCTCCCAGAATAAGCCACAGGCCTAAAGTCAGCAATGCATCCCAGGTGAGTTTCATACTCAAAGGAAGTAGTGGTTTATGGGGAGCTCAGACTTAGAGAAGACCACAGACTATCCATCAGGTGTCACACTGGCTTTAAGTTCTTGGAGGCATTATATGTGGGACAGAAAACAAATTTTCTGAAGGTTCTAGAGATTAAATCTCTTTTCATCATATGGCTTTAGGAATATACAAAATAGGTCAACGGCATATAAGAGCATCTAGAAACAGACCCAAGTATATACAGGAATTTAGTATATGATAAGGACAGTATTTCAAATTAGTAGAAAAGGACTGATTGGTTATTAAAAAATTGTGTTGGTGCACTGGCTATCCATTTGTAAAAAGTAAGCATCCAACTTCATACCAAACAGAAGAAGTTCTAATAGATTAAAGATCTAGACATAAACAATTATCATAAACATACTAGGAGAGAATACAGGAGGACACTTTTGCTACTTTGGAGTAGAAAATACCTAAGCAAGACGTGAAATTCAGAGCCATAAAGATTTTGTCTAATTATATAAAAATTAAAACTTTCTGCCTGACAAAGATACCATAAACAAAGTAAAAAGTCAATTGAGAGGCACAAATAATAGTCAAAGAATTAATATTCAATATGAATAACTCCTACAAATAAGACAAACAGCCCAAAAGAGAAATGAGTAAAAAATACAAACTGGCAATTCACAGAAATACAAATGGCCACTATGAAAAGATGCTTAATCTCACTACATTTAAAAAAATATATTATATTGAAACAATGAAATAATAGTTGTCTATCTTTTTAGCAAAGATTAAAAGTATCTAGTGTTGGTGAGGGTGTGGGGAAATGGGCCCTCATACCCTGTTGGTGAGAGTGTGAGTGTAAACAGCCTTTGTGGAGGGCAATTTGGCAATAACTATCAAATTTAAAATGTGCATACCCTTTGATCCAGCAATTCCACTTCTAGGAATTTATCCTAAAATGTACACAAAGATATATGTACAAGGATGTTCACTGAAGCATTATTTGTAATAGAAAACATTGGAAACAACATAAATGTCCATTAATAGGGGACAGATTAAATTATCAATGTATGTGTATACAACGGAATATTATATAGTCTTTAAAAAGGGAGTGATCCATATGTAGAAACATGAAAAAGTGTTCAAGATATATTTTTAAGTGAAAAAAAAAAAACCAAAACAAAAAAACCCTAGTTGCAGAACAGTATGTACAATAGTTCTTGTGCAAAATGAACTATATGAACACATGTATACACACACAGATAATATATGCTTAGGTACTGAAGGCTATGCACTAAACTATTAAGTTATTACCTCGGGAGAAGGATAGGGAGTGAGTGGAAGAGAAAGTGTGATTGAGAAAAGGATAAGAGTTTCCCTTTATTTTCTTTAATAAGCATATATTATTTTTATAATTAAAAACCAACAAAGATGTAAACAAATAAATAATTATCAATTCTACTTCTGCAGCTTTGGAACTTCATGGAAGCAGAAGAGTATTCCACTTGGTAGTCTAGTTTTTATTAAAGTTTAAGATTATATAGTCTAAAGCAGTTCTTAATTTCCTTCATGATTTGGAAAAAAATAAGAGGGGAAAGTGGGAGTGGAGGACACTTACATCCACAGTGATGTCAATTACCCATTGTGGCACCGTCTCATTAAGAAGCATCGACTCAGTCTCCCCTCCGGAATCTCGGCAGAGCAGCCTAAACACAGCCATCAGATATAAGGGATGCAATAAGCACAGGTGACAAAACCACCGTTACAAACATTAGATGGAGGGGCCTTTACAGAGTTCCTTTAGGATAACCCTGACTTAGCTGAGGAAGTAAAGTGCAGCCAGGCAAAACAGCTCACTCAGCTAAGAAAGCAGGCCCTAAAACTCAGGCCCCCAGCTTCCGAGGCCAGGTGTCCACCCTCTGAGTCCTCGGGTGATGAAAGGAAACCTGGGTGTCGCCAAAGCACTTGAGAAAGGCCCCTGGGCAGCACTCCTGTGCAAGGCATGGGCCTCCAAACACACTGGGGTCAGGCTACTTTTGGCAACCGCACTCTCAGGAAACCACCACGAAGGAAGAGAAATCTGTGCTCAAGGCCGGACAAACATTCTTCTTACCTCTGGCCCTACCAAAGAGCCCAGTGAGCTCTCCCCATGATGCTGCCAGGGCCTTGCTGGCAGTGTGGGGTAAAGCTGGTCTAGCTCTTTCCCGCAGGGCCTCACGAGGACTGCCTTGTGCATCAGATCGGGCCACTGCTGGCACGACCCTTCCCAGGAGCGGCCCGGTCCATCTTGCCTGACTCAGCCTGAGGGAAGTTACCTACTTTGATGCTGTCCCAAGGGCGGGAATTTCTGGTGATATCATGTTCCCTGACCCCGGCACTCAAGCTGGCTGAGTTAGAGGAAGTGAGATTTTCCTGCGAAAACCTAGAGAAGCTGCCTTGAAGCAACGTATTGACCTCATTTTAACACCAGAGGCTCAGCTTTCAACTAGAATGTGGTCTAACAGCATTAGACACTTAACTATTTCATGGAGATGGAAAAGCTTCCAAAACCCTGACACCCCCAGAAGTTAATAATAAACAATTTATAACATCTGTTTGAATCAATACTTCTTAGCAAACGGTACGCGTTCTCAGGCAGGGCCTCCAGCCCTCCTCAGCCATACCTGAACAGTGTGCGGCCTCCAGCTTCACCGAAGATCACAGGGGTGTGAGGGGGCACTTGAAAATATCCATTTCCCTTTTGGACTCGGTTCTCCTGCTCCCCATTTACTAGAAAAAGATGCAGATGGTGTCAGATGCAGAGTTAGTGCTAAGAACACAGATTCTGAACATTTTGTTTACACAGCCTTCAAACACTGTAAGATTTTTAAACTTAAACTTCTTTTTAAGTCAGCCAGAGTCAGAAATAAAGGCAAAAAAACAGACCAAAGTTAAATTCCTAACAAGAAGAAATATAGCAACTTCTGATGTACCTCACGAAAAATGACTGCATTTTAGAGGATTTTAATAGAAGAGATTAATGTTTGAGATTTGAAACAAACACATAACCATCTACTTGAGCCACAAGGAAGTCTAGGACAGCCTGTTCATAAATGACAATCTGCTTTTTCTTTAGAACACCAAGCTCAAAAAATTTCTTGGGCCAGAAAAAAGAATTTATATTTAATGGCAGCCATAACTAATGGCAGAGGTATCAGTGAAAAATGAAATCCTCAAAGAGGTCATAATTGTTTTTATTGTTCTCGGCAGATTTCATTTCACTGTTTTCTTTGTAATCTTCTGACCCAAGTGCAGTTGCCCCACCTCCCCATAAACACTTCCCTTTGAATGTGGAAGCAACCTCACCCTCTGATAACCACCACTATCAGAACCTCCCTCGTGGCATCCAGCACTGGTCTCTGATCACGGAACGCTTTAAGTGGCTCTCTGCCCTACCAGAATGTCAGTCTGAAGGACAGGGTCCGTAGACATTTATCTTCATTACCCCCAACCACAACTCACTACGGGCCTCCGAATACTTGAGCTGCTTAAAGTATAATCTAAACAACTCCTGAGTACCCACTGAGCATGGAGCAGGTACAGATTACCAGACAGGTGGAACGTGCAGTGTCCTGAGCTCTGGCTGGGGAGCTAGGTGGGCCCTGCCCTACTTCCACTATGGCAGTTTGATTTTAAGGATGATTTGGGGTTTCCTGTCACTTCTTCCATATTCCCCCAAACAAAGCCTGAAGCCAAAGGGGTGCTGGCTGTACCACTGTTTCTTGATTACTTAATCTTTATCATCTTTTTGGGCCTCTGAGGGCATCCTGTCTAACTGCCATGTTAGAGATACAGAAGGACAAACCAAGAACAGGAAATGATATGCCCATAGCTACATGGCTGATAAATGGCAGAGCCCACACCAGAACCTAGCTTTCTCAACCTCCTGTGGAGAGATCTTTCTCTGGCTCCCAGTCCACTATACAATGCTGATGGGGAGCAAAGTGGGCCAGGTGACATAAAAGAAAGGCCACATGGGTGGGGTCAGTGCTCTTTCTCTGATAGGGACAACAGAAGACTGGCTTTCAGAGAAGTGTGCCGCCCTTGCAAGAGAGATTTAAACCCTTGTCACTGCTGAACACCAGAAGCAATCTTCAGCAGAATCTTCGGAGAATTCACTTTTCAGTAGAGTAAGCCCTCAGTAGGTAGGACACAGTAGGACATAGGTTACACATGACCTGGCAAATTTTAAGGTTTTGTTTTCCCTTCTTTAGTCAAAATGAGCCGAACTCAGACATTCAAAACACGTCCTCCTCTGCTGCCCAGAGAGAGCTGCACCCGCTACCTACGGCACGCACAGCTTTTGAATGCTGTTAATGACATTAATTCTTTATACATACTTGTTCACTCTGACACTTCTGAGTTGGAATTTAATTTTTTGAAACATTCAGAGCCAAGACCAGGTAGATCTTCAGACTCAGTAACCTCAACATCTCACGCCAACATGAAATATGGCTAGACAAGGACAAACCTGGCTTTCTGATGCAACTAATTAGCTAGCTTTGGCGGTAAGCCCAGCAGGTCCACAGATACTCTGAGAAGTATCTTTGGAATATACCTGCTAGGCTACCTCCTTTTAAGGACAAAGGTCATTTTAACCATACTGGGTTTATTCTATCTATCTAGAGCAGTCTCACTGATTGAAAGCTTCTTGAAAACTCAGTTAAGACTGGATGGATGTTTACTTTGGGCTGTAGAAAGGAGGCAATGAATTGGGCATACTACAAATATTCTGTTGCAATTTAGCAAATACTTAAAATATTTCTTAAAATAACCAGTCGAAGTTTCTTTAACTTCTGAGTAATTTTTAATCAATTATCCTGATATAAAAGCACCAACCATGGTTTACTTCATTTTCTTCTTCATCCATTGGATTCACATGTGTTCTAGGCCAATATTCTAGCAGTGCCTGGAGTAAAAGTCCTCCTAAGTTCACTACAAAAAAAGTTATTAAAAAGGAATGGAAAATAGTTAGTAATTTTCACCTGAAAATAGAGAAAAATTATAAGTTCTCACATATTCTGATGTTAAATTCTTAACCCAATGCCAGTGATGCTTAAAAAATCAGATTTCGCCAAGTCTATTAAAACTTTATCTTATAATGTTTAAAGCAGTGATAACATGGAACAAACAGATATCCTATCTGGTTTAGATATAGCCATTCTTTAAAAACAGAGAAACCACAAACAGGAGCTGCATTCTTGAAAGGGCTGTTTTCATATAAAGTCACTAAAACTATATCTGTCTGTATTAGGTAATTCTACATGCTACATTCTTAGGAGAACACTGACCAAAAATACTAACAAAACATAACAGAATCATAATAAAGATGAGCACATAGCAAAAAACAGCACAGACCCACCTTCTCTTTTGCAAGGAAGAAGAGAAGGAAGGACACAAACTCACGTTTTGGATCTGACCCATCAGGGCTGCTGAAACCAGCATCTTTTGCAGAAACCCAAGCAGCAAAACAGTCACTCTCATCCAAAGTGATAGTCAACATCTGTCAAAAAAAAAAAAAAAAAAAAGATGGTGGCATTCCATTCGAATGTATTCTTCAGCTAAGTCTAAACCTTTATTTATTTGTGCTATTTAACTAAGGTGCTAAGCCAAAGGTTCAGAATCAAAATATATTTCGTGGGATTCAATGCAACCACAATTTAATTTACTGGGATACCAAAAGGCATTTAAACTGCATTTTACAAGTATTAACATGAAAAAATTTTTTCCTTTCACACTTAAAAACACAGGACTCTAACTAGTAATACTTAATTTTGACCCACATTAGAAATTTTCAACTATCCCAAATGGCACAAATATCAATTGCTAACTTACCCCTGTTTTTAAGTCTACTGAGAACCAATTTGGCACATACACCATCTTAAATCTTTTTTTAATTTCATCTTCAAAATCCACTTTGCCAAGATCTTCAACTTTACATGCCTATACATCAAAAAGAAAGTATAATAATTATCAATATTAAGTAGCAAATTAATTTGATTCTGACTTAGCTATTCAAAATTTTACCCATTTTCACATTTGTCTAAATGAGTCTAAAATACATTTCAGGAAGAATGTGGTCAAATATTTTCATCTCAAAGCCTTTACCTTTAAGTAACTACAAAAAATTTTAATGAAAAAACCCACAAAATATTCTTTTTGGAAACTGTAATTTAATTTTGCTGATACTGATACACTATCCACTTACCTGGAAGCAATGTCAAATAAAGCAAAAAAAAAAAAAAAAAAAAAAAAAAAAAAAAAAAAAAAAAAAAAAAAAAAAAAAAAAAAAAAAAAAAAAAAAAAAAAAAGAAGAAAACCAAGGAACAAGTAACAGTTGATAAGCACTTTAAGGACTCTGAAGCCACCTTCGGGTAACAGCTATGATACAGACAGCAGTTCTAAGTTTCTCTTTCTTGACCATTACAATCCTTCCTTATTCTCCCTCACTCCCTAAATGCGTGTTTCCCCAAAGCATGTCCTGAACTTCCTTGGGTGCCATGGAGCACTTCAATCCTGAACAGCTCATCGCAACCCTGAAGCTCGTACCAGGATGCTCCTTCTACCTCCTCATCCTAACAGCGACCTGGCTCTTTCCTCAGGGTCCCAATTCTTCAGTCATTTCTTCAAAGGGTGACTCTGCTGCTTCTCCTACATCCCACAGCTCTTTAATGGCACAGCGAGACCACTGTCCATCATTTCTATGTACAAGTCCTTTTTCTTTGATGCTCATGTCATTTAGTTGCAGTTAACTGTACCCCTCTTTTTCGGCAACCTCTGTGGTCACTCTTCCTCATTCACTAAAAACGTGAGCTCTGGTACAATGTCTTGTAGTCTATCTCGAGTTCTTGCTTCCATTCTGGACATCAAAATCTACACAGACAACACAAAAGACATGCTGGCTTCCCAAATCTTTGACAATATTCCAACTATAAATGTATGATCTCCAGCCTCAACTGAATCATTGCTACCTGGGATTTCTTCTGCTTCCAGAGTCAGTTCTCCACAACGTGGTCTTTACTCTCATATCTTTGACCTTGCTACTTCCTTCACTACCCTCAGCACATGACTCTGACCTTTACTCTTCAAAAAAATTTTTTAAAAAGCCTTGACAAAATCCCCTTAACTTTTCTTCCTGGTGCAAGGAAAAAGGCTTCCCTTTTGCTGTGCTCTGAATTCTCTCACCTCTCTGTTCTCCTTGGGGGCCTTGTCTCATCATCTACCCACTTCCTGTCTCTACTGGCTTCTCTCCATGAGCAGCGAAACATGTTCAAATTTTTCCCATCTGAAATATACCTGAACACTGAAACAAAATCGTCCCTTGATTATCTTATCCCTAAATCTTCTCCATCTACTGCTTCTTCCTGTTCACCTCACCAAAGTCAAACTTCGTCGAAGACTGCCTCCACCCAAATTCTGTTTCTTCACCTCCCAATCACTACTCAATCACTCCATCTGGCTTTTGTCCTCAGGACTCCCTAGAGACTGCTCTCTCCAGACACGACCCTCTTTATTGGTTAAATCCATGTGCACATTACATTCCATATTTTACATGGGCTCTCAACAGGCCAGTGCTGCTAACCATGAGCTCCTATCTGAAATGTTTAATTGGTTCTTGAGCTGCCATTTACTTTTAGTTTTCTTACCCCTTTTAATTATATACCTTTGTGGCTCTTTTTTTAACGATTCCAGAAAGGGTGATGATTTGTTTTTCTCTTTTCAGTATAGATGTATCCCTTGGAAACTCTGACATTTTCCATGACTTTAATTATAATCCACAAGCTGATGACTGCTGACCCTATTTCCCCAGCCCAGCTCTTTCGTCTGCACATCAGGCTGCACAGCTGTCCGCTCGGCACACATTTCTACCCAGATGTCCCACATAAACTCAAATTCATGTCTTTCTCAGCACGTCTCTTTCCTCCAACAACTCATTTTCCTCTTTTATTCCCTATATCATTTCTGCTCACCAAACTATCTAATTCAGAAACTAAGGATTCATCTTTGCTCCTTCCTTTCCTTCATATTTCCTCTGATTCAAGCATCACTCTTATCTACAGGCCTAAATATCTTTCTAATCATTCCATTCTTTTCTCATCCCCCTTGATTCTACCCTAGCTCAGATGAGTATTTCTGATGATGATATTTTCACCTGTATTAATGCAACAGCCTCCTTACTACTATGTGCCAGCCACTATGATAAATACTTCTTGAATATCCCCTTAGCATCACCAGGAAACAGGTACTGCCACATTTTAGAAGTAAAGAAGGAGGCTTTGAGAGGTTCAGCATGTTATGGAGATCACTTGGCTAGTAGCTGGCAGAGCCAAGATTATAATTTAGCTCTGTCCAACTTTGAGCCTATGTTTCTAACTACTCTTGACTTCTCTTTTGTTTAATGTCATGTTCATTATGCCCAATTGCTGTTGAAACGTCAAGGTCTAGTATCTGGGCATAGAAAGCTGTTAGGGACACAAAAAATGCCAATTATAGTACATGCCAGCTCAGTGCCCCATCTAAGTAAAACTATCTCTCATTCAGCCAGCAGGACCCTACCAAGGCTTCAGCTAATTAGAGTAAGAGAGGACATCAGACCCATAGGCAGAAAGTAAGTCAGCCCTTGAAGAAGAGCTGGCCTGATTAGATTTCATTAGATATTCTGGAAAGCACCAGGTGCTGGGCAGCGTGAGGCGAAGCCCAGCCCTGGGCAGAGCTGGGGCCACATCAGTCGTGGAGTACCCAAGTTTCTGCTGATGAGATCCTCGGGGCTGCTCTGGATGCTCCCCATCCCCACAATGAAACGAACAAGGTTTCTAGTTTCCTGCTAAGCATGTGTCTATTGTAGAAAAAGACCAGCTGGACTTTTGGAGCCTGCTGCAGTTAAGCTTTCCATTCATGTTCTGAAGCCATGCTCGCCCAGCAACCTTTCTGTAATGCAACTTCCCACAGCTGCCCCACAGGGAAGGAAAAGTGTCAGTCAGGCCACAGTTCCTATTCAGACAGTCCCTTTTTCCCAGAAAGAAACTTGTTTATCTTACTCTGTCACTCTGAAAGTCAACTTAAGTGAACCTTTGTTCCTTATAACCAAGAGCCTAACCAAACCCTCAGATCTTTTCCATTAATCCTTTATAACATATCCAACACCTGTCTTTTCTTTTAGATCCCCAAATCATTATGCTTTAGAAAACTGTCTTCCAGCTTCTTTCCCATGACACATAGTACTACCACTTTGAATATGGGATTTTCCTGCTCTAAAATCATCTAAGATTAAGATTCTTTAGGGAATACCAAAGAAAGGCTAATTCTGGGGCCTGCAATTCAAGACTCTGGGCAATGACTTGAATCTCATCTTTGTGCTTATACCCTTATTACTCCCTTATACTCATCTAGTATCAAATCAACAACACAAAACTGCTCATCTTGCCCTAAATAAGCATGTACCTTCCCTCTTTTGTGCCATGTCATTCACTCCTTCTTCCTGAAATGCCCTCTCATTATTCATCTGATGAAACCCTTTAAGCCCCTGTTGAAATGATTTCTATACCATGCCGCTCTCTTGATTTCTCCAGTTGCAAGTAATTGCCCTCGTCCATAAGCTATCCTGTGATCTGTTTACTCCTTAGGCTTTCACATTTCGCCACTCTGCTCTCTTCCTACCAGAAGGGATGGACTTTTCTGTCATCTATAACTCTCAATACAGTTCAGTTCCCTGTACACAATACTCATTCAATCCAGGAAATACCTGTTAAACAAAAATATCAACAACAACACTAAGAAGGAATATTTGTCAGAACTCTAAAAGCAAACTTTTCAAACTGCCTATAAATTCGTCAGTGCTATTTAGAATGTGGTTGAACAGCTTAATACATCTCAGCTATCTCAGAGGGAGTCATCTTAAGATGATCTAGAGTTGTAACTGATGCTCACAGTGAAGGCTGGAAATCCTAAGAAACGGCCAAACTTATTTCATGTACTCCAGTGGTTTTAACCTAGGGTGATTTTGTATCCTTCTTCCTCATTCTGCCCCTTAAACATATGGCAATGTCTGAAGACATTCTGGGTTGTCACAATTGAAGTGGGATGAGTGGTTACTGGCATCTAGTGGGTAGAGGCAAGGGATGCTGCTAAACATCTAACAACACACAGGCCAGATCTCACTCCTCCTTGCCCCCAGCAAAGACTTATTCCGCCCCAAATGTCAATAGTATCAAGGATATGGAATTCTTATGTATTCATTTTAAGGTAAGGAAGCATACAACAGAGTTTGTAATATATTAAACAGAGAAATGGTTCTATTTGAATTTTAGGTGCTTAAAAAAATAAACTATGGCCTTATCTAATATTCACATAAGAAAGTACACCCCCATAAAGTATCATTACGATTAAATCTTAATTTATACATTATCTTTTTTTCATACACACACAAAAAATAGGATACATAATCCAATAACCTCTATTTAATACAAAAAGATACTCACCTTCAATACATCCCAATATGCCACATTATTATTGGTATCTTTGGTTAATATATGTCTCTTATCATTAAGAATGTGGCATTGAATAATACTAGCACCCCCTAAAGGAAAAAAACCCACACAATTAGCAAAACAATCCTTCTACTACATTTAAATTCACAGTAAGGTAACAATTGTTAACTGGTATACAACAGAACATAAATCACACTAGCCACCAGAAAGAAGGCAAATCAGAAGACTATATAATTATATCTAAGGCAACTGAAGGCCAAACAAAAACTGTCTGATTGTAATAACATAGATTAAAAGACTCCTCACTTCAAGGGTCTACTAGTGGACAACTGTGAAGGGCAAACAGTTTTATACACTGGAAAAAGTGCAAATGACAGGAAACCTCTGAATTGGCCTCATCTCTCATTAACTTTTACATCCTATCTTCCTTGTCTTTTATACCTCTAGAAGGGACATTCTATTCTAAAGGTAACAGCATGGACATCTAACTGTAGATGAATGCATCATTCAATATTCTAACCCCAAACTCTGATATTAAAGTTAGAGGTACTACTTGCAGCTGTGGCACGCATAATTCAAGGACCAGATCTGACTTTTTCTGACTTGTGCCAAGATAACAGTAAATTCTATATATTTTTCAAAATGGCTGTTGGCTTTACCAAGACCCTGACTATTCTGATTTGGGGTAAAAAGATTAACTCAAGAAAGCCTACTTTTTGTCTACGGCCATGCCACTCTGAACGTGCCCGATCTTGTCTGATCTCGGAAGCTAAGCAGGGTGGGGCCTGGTTAGTACTTGGATGGGAGACCACCTAGGAATACCAAATGCTGTAGGCATTAAAAAAAAAAAGCCTACTTTTTAAAGTCACTAAATAGCAGTTTCTAAATGTTTTTCTTTTATTAAAAATGAACCAATATGCTATTATGAGTCTTTTGCTGATATCAGAATTACATATAAAGGAAGATTATCTCCTTTATTTTTGTTGATCTCTTAGTAACTATAATTAACTTCAATAAAAGGTATAAAACCTTCCAATTTCCTTACCTTTGATAACCTGGTCAGGTTGTGTACAAAGGGGTGTTATAGGATTTGTACAGTCATTGTCATAATCTCCAGAGGCTCTAAAGTTATGAATTCCCTTCAATGTCTGAAGAAACAAAATTCATTATTTAATCATTTTATGCTTTATAAGCTTTCCCAATCTGTTTAAAATGGCAAGAAAAACAAAGAACAAACAAACGAGAAAGACCCACCAATAACATCAATCAAAAAATACTCAGTCACAAAGTATAATTACCTACCATGATTAAAAAGACTAAAACAAATATTAAGAAGGGGATGTTGTCTTTTTGAAGAGAACACCAAGCAATCTTCTAGGTAAATTATATTGATGTCAACTGGCCCAATGAAATTTAGACAAGATATATAACATTTTTCACAAGTTCAGAGAAAGACCATTTGCCCTGTATATAAAAAGGAACAAATGCAAACACTTTCTCTTCTGTTATCCACAAACTGGTAAGCAAGAAAACTAAAATTTTCTTTAATTAAGATTTAAGAATACTACTTTTGATAACTTCTCTCTGCTCATCCTCTATTTCTACTCATTCTTCATGCTAAAAAGAAAAAGGAAATGAATTTAAAAGCACAATTTTCTGATTGCTCTGTTTAGAAAAAGAGAATCCTAGTGAGTTTCCCTGCTGTGTTGGTATTTGAGTTGTCTATTTTCAAATGAAGTTTCATGAAGTCAGAAGCTGCACTAATATTTACTGGTTTTATCAGGCCACAGTGCCTATTCTAAGAATTTCCATATGTATTTCTTGGTTCCTGGCAAAGAAATTAGAAGCTTTGAGTGTTACCTTAATTTTAGTTCAACCCTTAGGATCACATCTACATTCATAGAGGCTTTCAGATTTTTGCCACTGTCCAAAAGCATGCTGAGAGTCAGGTTCATACTGAGCATTTGCTAATGGTGTCTGGCAGGTCTGTGATAACTAACCACGTGTTTATAATCCTTCGCCAACTGTACAGTAGCTCACTTACCCATTTATTTACTGTAGATTTAGTTGTTGCAACCCAGATTGCAGGAGGGGGATCAGCTGATCTATCAAGCTCCATCTGAAAACAAAGCACAAAAATATTGTTTTGTGAAATGCTGACTCATCTGAATTGCCAGGAAGAGTTACACATTATTAAATATCAATTCTGTCTACGGCCTTGCTACCCTGAACACACCCGATCCAGTCTGATCTCGGAAACTAAGCAGGGTCGGGCCTGGTTAGGACTTGGATGGAAGACCACCTAGGAAGACCAGGTGCTGTAGGCACAAATGAATGAATGAATGAATGAATATCAATTCCTTCATTCGACATTTGTGTTGACTTTACTATGGCATGTGTTAAAAGCTAGTAAAAGCTAGGAATGTACAGATGAATGAGGGAGTCTGTGCTAAAGAAATTCACGACCCTATGAAAGTTTTGGTGACTTCTCATTAAAACAGTGGCTTAAAGTTTTAAGTGTGATTAATTTAAGGGATTTAAATGGATAGTCAAAAGGATGACTTATAATATTTTGTTTTTGTGTTCTTTCTTAATAAGAAATGTTTTTTCTTTGAAAATGTTTGTAGTAAAAAAACATTCTAACAACACAACAAACATTAAAAGTACCCATGTAATTCACTCCCTTGCCTAAGGACAGTGCACTGGTGATCAGTTTTACCGTCTGTCCTTCTGTATTTTTAAAATATTATACGTATAAAAATTCTAATACATACATACATGCAATGCAAATAAAATCAGTCTATTTTCGTCCACTATTCCTCCTGTACCAGAAAACTGCAGGTTTGGAGTTGTGGGGACATGGCTTGGCTCCTAGCAAGCAGGAGTCCTCTTTGGTTCAAAGTGATGTTCCTTATAACATGGTTATGTCTGCGCCAAGTGCTTTTTCTATACAGCCAAGAGATCCTGGCAGCTGCAGGGCTCACAGTGCAGTGTTTCTCCTCCACACTTGTCTCCCCCCTCAGCCTGCTTCCTGCACACATGCTGTGCCTGCATGATTTCAGCTCCAACTCTCTTGCTTCCCTGAAGGATTAATGGTTTTGTCCATTAGAGTGTGCCACTATTTTAAAGAACTGTACTTGGCCAGTTTTGTGTAAGCTCCTAGACCACAGGCATCCTCTCAACTGTCTCGTTTGACCTCTATTCCTTTTTTAGCCCTTCTTCCTACACTGTGGTCTGGGTTTTAGATGTCACTTAGTTTCGTAGATGATGGGTATTTGCAGTTATTTCTTGCTTTCCTTGCTGTCGTCAGATGATTTCTGAGAAAGGGGGGCAGTGCTGTCTTCATGCCTCTATTTTAAATCTAGAAATTTCCTCACTGTTGTTTTGATGTGCAATTCTGTGATTATCAGTGAGGCTGGACTTATATGATGATTGGCCATTTTTCAGTCTAGGCTTCACTTCTGGCAGGCGTAAGTATGGACGGCTTCCCAAGTACCCTTTTACCACATCCCAGACCGTGATTATCAGAACCACTTTGATGCACCAATGCTGTGGAGTACGAGCCAGCTCGTTCCCTCATCTTCAGGAGCCTCTTTTACACCCTCCCTCATGAGGCAGTGGACACATTTCTGCTTTGCTGTCTGCTCACAGATACTTGAACTCTTCCAATTCGTCCTCTAAGGACAGGTTAGGAAAGCCAGGCAATGTCAGGAGCAATGTGGGGCAATCCCACTAGGACTTCTCTGCGGGAGAGCCAGCCTTCCCTGATGTACCCAAGTCACCATTCTTCTACAGGTGACTAACAAAAATGTTAAAATATCTTTTTTACAGCCCCACAGTTGATTCATGTTTTAATACAGATTTTGCCATATTTGGCTGGCACACGGAACAATCTTAATTATAAAGCTAACATATATGACATATATACCTTGAGAACTGGTGCTTTTTCTTCACAAATTAGCACTCGAATGTCAGGGTTTCTTAGATCCGTACAATAAATCTTCCGGTCCCTCCCTCCAGAATACACATGTGTGAAGGCATCATTGACTTGCAGAGCCCAAACGCCTTCATCATGGACTCGGTACGTTGCTATACATCTCTGCTGGCCAAGGGACCATAGGCGAATTGTCCCATCAGAACTGCCGGAAAGGCACTGGGAATGAAGAATGCTAAGGTTAGAAACTTGCCTAAAGTTTCTCCTTTCCTATGCTTTGCACTTGGCTTCTCTCCTGACTCTACACCGTCCAACACACACCTTTAAAACCTGCATTTCTGCCTCTGAAAAAACTTCTGACAAGCTTGCACCACAGGCTGAAATGACCAAAGGGAACGGTACACGCTCAAGCAGGGGAAACCTCTGAGTAAAGCTGCCTCTGTCCTCTCTATCTGGCCACTGGCAGCATCAGCAGCCCCTGGGAACTAGTTAAGAATATAAATTCCCAGGTCCCATTCATGACCTCATGAAGCAGCAACTGTGGTGGGGTCCAATCACCAGGTGACAGGCTCTCCAGGTCATTTGGTACACTAAGTTTGACAAGCATTGCACTAGTCCAGCAAGCCTTTTGGTGCCCTGGGTCACACCTCTGCCTCATCCCCTCATTCATGGCTCTGGATTTCTGATGGCCTGCCAGGTCCTTTGGATTCTACTGACAGAAGTCAGAAGCAAAATCTAGTCCTAGGCTAGAGTCATTCACTGTCTGGGACCTTGGATACTTCCCATACAAGCCTCAAGTTCAACATCTATTAATATAAAATGTGGACCTTCAGCATTCAGTTAACGTTAGCAATTCTGATCATTTCTAAAGGCTCAGGAGCATCGACTACATAGAAGTTGCTGGCACACAAAGCAGGGCTGAGCACACTGTGAGCCTGAGAGAAACAGGCTGAAACGGCCACTGCACATTCACATTCAGCACGCCTGGTGTCTCTAGCAGTTACCGTGGTGACTTGCAGAAGAGGATAAAAACTTACTCTCTGGAAGAAAAAGTGGCCCCGAAGAGAAAGCAACTGTTGGTGCTGGTGTATGAAATTAAGCAGGCAAAGAGCTTCAAAAAAGAGAAGATAGTTGTGGGCTTAGAGATTTGGAAAGCGTCTGAATAGACGAGACCTTGAGGGATATTAAGGATTTGCTGGCATGCCCTGTGACTTAAAGGGGCCTTTAGATCTCCAGATATGTTTAATTAAGTGAACACCTACTAGGAGGCTCCCCCATAAGCTGCCATTCCAACCAGTTCACAAGGGCAGTAACTAGTAAAGAAACTGTCATGATTACGGTTACAAGCAGACCTTCGACACATGTGTGGGAGAGTGTGGCAGTCTCATAGGGAGGAGGCAAGGAGGGCCTCCCCATTCCAGGAAGAGATGCTACCTTGAGGTGGCAAAGCTTTGACTACTCAGATCCTAGACTGTGTACCTAGAGAGAGTAAGGTCTAACGACTTTAGATGACAGGCAGCAAGTCCTCACAGCCTAGGCGACTTGCAACAGGGAAGAGATAAGTCCCAAATCCAGAGTGAAAGCAGAGTGAAATCACAGCTGAAAGCAGATGAGGAAACAGCTATATCAGCCCTGATAATAATCTTGATAGCAGCCAGTATTCTAAGATTGCTAAACTCAGGCCTCCAAATAGACACCAATCACTTTTAAAGTACAATGCTGGCCTCTTTGTGGTGTTTGGTAGTGTGGTTGAAGGATAAATAGACACCAATCACTTTTAAAGTACAATGCTGGCGAACTCTTTGTGGTGTTTGGTAGTGTGGTTGAAGGATGTGCCTATTTTACAGGATTTCTACTGTCTGATATCTTGTACAAGTTAGAGGAGTCATCAAAACATTTCCCACCACCTCCACTCTTCCACTGGATACACACGAAGACCTCCTCATTATGAGGTGACTCCTGGGACCAGGAGAATGCCCCAAGTGTTTCTGTTAAATCAGACTTAGGGGTGCTCTGTGTTTCTGTCAGTGGAGATGAGAGGTTCCAGTGTATTGGGGCCAAGCTACTGTTAACCAAAACAAGTGTTTCTGGGATAGCCATTCATACACAATTGCAACTTGCAATAGAGAGCAGCCAAGTGGGCAAGGAGTGGCCTAACGCTCGGAGACCCCTATACCCATGAGCTAGGTTCTGTAGGACCTGTATTACCAGGAAAACCCTATGTAACAGGTTGTTCCAGCTCCTCAAACAACTGCCTGAACAAGCATAAGGAATGAAAAGTGCCTCATCTCAGTAATGTTGGCATCAATCAAAACAAATGCAATGGTGACAGACATCAAATCGTAAAGTTTGCTAAATAAGAAACTTACTTTCACAACAAAGGAAGTGAGGAAACAGGTTGAGGTCCATGGGATTCACTGGCCTATTATACATATCTTGTCACAAGTCCCTGAATTACAATGTCACGGGAGACCCTACATTAGAAGTTGCAGGGCAACTCTGCAGGATGCAATATACACAAAGGTCCAGTACCTGATAACTATCTCTTCTAAATGACAAGAGCTGGAGAATTAGTAAGTAAAGGTTTCTTCTCCCCATCCCCACTGCCCTTTTACCCAAATGAGTACTTATTATAGTAGGTCAATTCTCTAATGTAAATATGCTTTGTTGCTGACGGTTAAATGTACCTTTAGTCTATGGGGCCATAAGGAAAAGGGGTACCAGAAGCACCTGAGGAGGAATGATACCTGCTTAATCACACACTCTCAGGCCGACAGGCAGCTCTTAAAGTAGTACCACAGCACTGTCTCTGCTTACAGAAAATATCCTGATTTCAGGTGAAGTGCATATAAACTATACTTGTTATTTAAATCATCTTGGGCAAAAGCACGTTCATAATATATACACAGGAAATAAGGCATGGAGTGTAGTAGACAGGCAGAACTTTAGAAAGTCTGCCAGGCCCAAAGCCCCGCTTCTAGAAATCATCTTGTCTACAGCCCCTACTTAAGGGCAGTCCCATGGAGACTATATGACCCAGTCCAATCCTGGGCAAAGTTAAGAGAACAAGGCAGAGGCACCATCTCGAGCGCAGCCTAGTGGCTACATTGCAAAACAGGCAAGGCGCTGACTGCACGGGGTTTCTTAGACACATGAAAATGGGGCTGCAAAGGATCTCAAGAGCTCTAGAAAATGCAAGGCTTACAGTGATTACTTCTAATTTTCTCACTAACTATATGAACTAAATATTATGATTCCCACTTTGCAGGTGAGCAAACTAAGGACTAGTAAAGTGAAGCCCTCCTCTCAAGGCCACACAGCACATTAACGCTGAGAGCTTTCCATGTCCCAAAGACCTTCCTGGGCATCTTTGCCTGGTTCAGAAAAATTATTTCCTTCCTCTGGCTAGTTGTTCACCTTTCACCTCTGGAGACAGAGGTTTCTCCAATTCACGTCAATTTCCATGACATAACTTCCACAGGAGTAACAAGTGTGTTACTCAATGGTGTTCGCATCTCAACATCTTCCTACTCTAACTCCAGCAAAATCAATTCCAATTAGCTGTGAACTTATCCCTGCCCTACAGGAAAAAATGGCCGGGGGAGGCAGGGGCACATGGTAGAGATGTGTCATAACATAAAATGGTGCTCAGAATTTGTTTTTTATTACCTACATTGATGAAAGATCATTTCCCCACTGCTATAGAACTAGGATTATGATTTATAATTCAAAATTATGTAGCCAACAGAATACTAGCATATGTTCGAACATACCAAAATATTTTTCTTGGAAATACCGAGTCTAAGTACTGTGTTAGATGACTGAACTTATAGACTGTATCTATACGGTCAACTGACAAGATTCGCTCTGAAGTCAGACCCACTGTGACGAAATTTTCCACTTAATACATCGGCAGAAAGCACTGACTACCACAGTTCCTGTCTGTGTTACCCAAGGTAACATTTTAAATTATTCTAGCCTATATTATCATAATTGCTTTTACCGATCTGCATCAGAATTATTCTGAGGAAATTCCTTGTCTGGCTTTTATTTAAAAGTGGATTATTACATATGCGACTGAGTATTTTAAGGATTTAAAATTAAACCATAGTTTATAATATGTGTAGCTTTTAGTTCAAGTCAACCTACCCAACAGTACACAAAGTGGGGGAATTTCTGCTGTATGAAATTTTGTCAAAGTTATTAGGTAAATAAATGTCCACATGAAACTACATACCTGTGTGCCATCTCTATTCAATAGCAATGCTTTTACATTATCCGTGTGACCTTTAAGCTTCATTAGTTTTGCACATGTTCTTGGATCCCATACCCTTAAAACCTGTGAATTTCAACAATATTAAACAAACTGAGTGAATTTAAATACATGAGTGAATTTAAATAATAGATGTATAAGTCAAATGACAACCATTCAATTCTGAGAAACACTGCTTCTGCCAATGGACACTTGTCTAAGGCTCCCAACCTTTTTAAGTAAGAGGAAGCCTTATTAATGTCAAGAAATGCACAGGCCTTCCTAACACCATCCACCCGCCCCATCACCACACACGACAGTAATTATATAGTTATACTCTTATTTACATAAAAGCTTTCTTTTAGCATCCACCAGGCAAAAACACTCTCTACATATTTAGTAATTACGCAGATCAAATTATTTTGGTTTCTTTGTTTTCTAGTGTTAAAATACACCCTTTTAAACTCCCCCTTACCTTCTCAGTGGACCCTGATACGATGATTGTTCCCAGCTGATTCATTGCCAGGCTATAAATGGAATCTTTGTTCCCACTTAGAGAGGAAGCTATTAAGGATAAATGGAGCTAAATGTTAACAAAATTATCAGCTTTTTAGTAGCTAGTCAGCAAAAACTGCAAGTTTAATTATAAATTTAGAAAAATCTTATCTTTATGAGTGCTAGAAAATAAATCTACCTGGAATGGAGAATGTGCTAAACAATAATACTGTTATCAGATTTTCCATGTTTTCTGGATTTGAGTATACAAGTACTCAATAAATATATGCTAAACTGAATTGTACCACCATTTAAAAACTATCCACCTATGTATTTTCAAAGATATACATGTGCCAATATATATGAAAAATATGTGCAAACTCCTCATTTTCAAGGATATACAAATCAAAACTAAAATATTATTTTCACCTACAAATCCAATAAAAAAATAAGGTAATGCTTTATTCTCAGAAAACACGGCAAAATGGCACTGTCATACATTACTTGTTAAGAGGATAATTTGGTACAACTCCTAGAAGGAAATCAGGCAATGTGTAGCAAGAATCATGTCCATGCCTTTAGAGTCAGAACAAAATATTAATGAAGTGAAAAAGTTGCATATAAAACTATCTGTATTGTATGATCCTAATTTTACAATAAATATCAACAACATACTGAGAAGTGATAAGTATAAGACTTAATACATGTAAAGTATTTAGAAAAGTGCTGCTTGCAAAAGTGTTCAATAAATGTTAGCTATTAGTATTAATTCTATAATCATTAAAAAACCTTATGTGAGATCCACTCTAAAAACTTATGTGAGATCTAAGGAAAATGGATCTGTTGCAGAGTCTAAGCCTGGTCTCTGACTTTGAGACATTACTGCTTATTTGCTTTGTTCCTTCTTGTTAGCATCTCTTTGAGGAGTGTCTTACATATAGAGAGAGCTAAATGATATATCGTGACAGCTCCCAGCAGGGACCAGCTGCTGAATCACTGAGACAGTGTGCAGGTAAAAAATCAAGGACAATAAGGGGAGAATAGTACTTAGACTGCATATATTCCCGAGAAAAAAGCCAAAACAATATTCAAGAAATTTCATTTACCCACCTCCCAACCCGCCCTCTCGGCTCACACTGGTTAGACCAGAACTGCCTAAGCTAAGCCAATGAGAATATTTCGTGGTTATGACAAACTGAATTTATAATCATATAGCGATCTAGATAGTTCAGGCCCATGTCCTGAACAGAGCTTCCAGGCCAGGCTTAGCCAAAAATGTGCTCCTAAGAGTTCCTTCTGACACTGCGAAGAGGACTACAGTAGGCTGGGCCAAGCGTGAAGCTGAGTTTCAAGTCTAGACTTGTATGGGTCTGACCTAGTAATCTGAGATCTCTTAGTTGATGAGGCACCCATGCTATTAAACTGCTGTGAATGCCTCTGAATTGCCTTTCAAAGCACCCTAGCCTCCCTGAACTCTTGTGGAATTGGCTGGATCATTCAGTGCTGCTCTGAAAAGGTCCTGCGAAATCAGCACTGAAAACCTTTTCGTTTTTTGCTTTGGAATATTCCATCTTGGCCATTAACTCAAAGGCTCTTCATAGTAGCACTTAAAGGTCAGAAACTGCCTACTTTGTCAGGTAATCACCACCTCTATCAATAATATTTACTGGGCGTGTGGCTTTGGGCCAGGCAATGCTGTGGGAGATACAAAGTAGTGAGGTGAACTCTTCTACCCCGCAGGAACTTACACTTTAGCTAAGGAGCTAAGACATGCACATGTACGGAAACAACCAGGTTACCCCTGGAGAAGTTACCATTTTAAGACTGCAGTGAGGAATTAGCTCTTTGTTGTTCAATCATACTCTTGGGGGCTAGAATACTGTAGGTAGAAGCACTCTCAAAATATGAACCACTGTCTTGATGTAAATTGATCAAAGATGTTTTATAAACCGTTCCTTATGTCAACTTGGAGCACTTTCAAAGAAATTTTCTTCAAACACCTTACTTGTGACAGTGTTATTTGAGGCAGTCAGTGCTGTTAGAGTATTCACATCCCAAAGGAATATTTGTCTGTCCAACCCAGCCGACGCTACCAGTTCTTTATCCTTGGCATACGCTAAGGCTTTTACATAATCCTGTAACAGAACACATGTATCATGATCGACTCTGTAGCCACATAAAGTACTGAGATTCCAATATTACACTAAAGACACTGAAAATTATGGTAACTGTTTTACCTTATGTGTCCTTAACGTTGACATGCAAAATCCCTTATGTGCATTCCATACTTTTACCGTTGTGTCAGAAGAGGCAGATATTACTAAAAGAGGCAAAGAATTAACAAACCACTTAGTAGTAGAACTTACCATTTTAAAGACTTATTGTAAAATAATGTAACACCGTTTCAACCTAATGTTCATATATATATATATATATAATATATATATATACACACACACTTG